GTGCCTGGAATATAGTTGGGAATTTAGTAAATATTTGTTGAATAAGTGAATAAAAAAAATAAAAGAAATATCAAACAGCAATAAGTGCCGTGCAGGGAATTTAAACAGTGATGTGGAAGCAGATCACGGGATAACAATTTGAATTACTAGGATAGTGTGTCTGCCAAGATGGTATTACCTGAGATCTGAATGAGGAGAGAGAGCCAGCCTTTTAAGGATAAAAGGAATTGCATTCTAGCCAGAGAGAACTGGTAGTACAAATGTCCTGAGGCAGGAATGAGCTCTTTGTGTTCAAGGAACAGAAAGAAGGCTGGAACTCACTTGGAAAGGAGGGGCTTGGGGTATGTTTTAGAGGTAGAGATAGCATGACTTTTAAGTAATTGGAGTGAAGAAAAACTGGGAAAGCTTTGGGCTCAGAGTTTGGGGTAGGAGGAATCAGGAATTTTCTTCTGGCTGTTGTGAGCTTGTGATAACTTTTGGACAGCCATGTGGATATGTCAAGGAAACAGTTGGATGTACAATTCTGTAGCTCTGGAAGGAGGTTAGACCTTGAGATCTGGATCTAGATTAAGAAGTACTTTGCATAACGATAATTAAAGACACTGAACTAGATGAGATCACCTAGGGAGTACATATAATATATGAATTAGTTAGGTTGAAAGGCTAAGCTACCATAACAGAGACACCAAAGTTTAATGGCTCAAACAAGATAAACCTTTATTTTTCTCTTGTGTAACAATCCAAGTTCCTGGTAATCGGGTGGCTTTGCTTCACAATCATTCAAGGGTCGTTTTCCTCCCATCTTATTATTCTCTTTCCCTTGGGTTGTTGTCTGTTTTATCAAAGGCAGGTCATAGCCTCTTCTGTCTGTCGGTCTTCTCAGCCATAGTAAGAGGAAAAAGTATGAAGTAAAGAAAGAGAAGCTTTGGCCAGAAAATGGCACGTATTATTTCTATTCACATTCTGTTGGTGAGAACCTAGTCATATAGTCATAGATAACTGCAAAGGCTTCTGGGAAGTAAGAAGTAGAGCCAGTTATGTGCCAAGCTGTAGCTAATAAGGGGAGAATGAATTTGGTGGCCAGGTAGCATCTCCTGCCATATAGACAAGAAAGGAGCCTAGGAGAGGGCTCTGAGGTTAATCCAGATTTTAGAAGTTAAGTGGAGGAACATATGCCACTGGCAAAGGAGAATTGAAAATAAAATGTCAGTGATATAGGAGTGCAGTGTCATGGAAGCTAAGGGAAGATAATATTTCAAAAAGGAGCGAGTATTGTGTGGAATGGCATCTGCAAAGTCAAGATAATAGAATAGGTACTCAGTTTGAGAATGTGTAAGTAATCATTGATTTTTACATAAGAGTGGTGTCAGTGGAGTGGGTTAAGGGAAGGATGTGAAGTGAGGAAAATAGAAGTAACTAAGAACACCTTTTAAAGAAACATTGCAGTGAAAAGTAACAAAAAGTGGTGATAGCTGGAAGGGGATATTCGGTTGAGGTGTGTTTTGTTTTGTTTTTAAGATAAAACATGCCAGAGCATGTTTGTATGCTGATGGGAACGGTCCATTAGAGAGGAAGATGATACAAAAGAGAGGGTGTTACTTGCATGAGTGAAGTTCTTGAGAAGAGTTGTGATTAAAGCCTGACTGTATCAAGATTGGTTAGGATACACTACTGCTGGAAATTTCAGTTGGTACAAGTGCTTTATGAAGTTTTAAAACCTCAAGCAGTACTATGTACTATTCATAGATAAATAAATCTGTTAAGAGTAAAAATGCAGTGGAAACAATAAACACTCAATTTATGAAATTGTTTCTCTAGGGAGAGGGTAATGAAATCAGGGCGATATTTTAGTTGCACCTGCAATGTTTTACTTATTTTAAAAGTTCTTCTGAAGCAAATATAAATATGTTAAGATTTGATAAATCTGCCTATTCCTCATATTAAGGTCTGGTTTTTATATTTTAAATATTTCATGATGAAAAATACACAAGAAAAAGCATAGTCAGTAGTACAAAATAAGGTAGCAGAAATAAACCTAAATGGATCAGTAATCACAATAAATGTAAACAGACTAAAATCTGTATGGCTAAAAATCTAGTAAAAGTCCATGTAACTTAAGATAAAGACTCAGTTTAGATGAGAACTCAAAATCCATCTATAAGCTATTTGCCAGAGACACAACCAAAATATAAGGGCATAAAGAAATTGAAAATAAATGGGTAAATTCACTAGACAGATGTTCACCAGACGAAAGCTTGTGTCACAGATTAAATACTTTAAAGCATATAGCATTGTTAGGATAAAAAAGGCCACTATATTATGATAAAATGAACAGGGTAGGCAAATAAAATTCTGAACTAGTTTGCAACTAATGTCAATCTCAAAATATATAAAGCAAAATACACAGAATTACCAGGAGAAATCAACAAATTCATAATCATAGTTAAGAGTTTTAAGAATGCTGTGTTTGCCCGACTGGCGTGTCTCAGTGGTTGAGCATCAGCCAATGAATCAGGAGGTCACAGTTCGATTCCCAGTCCCGGCACATGCGTAGGTTTTGGGCTTGATCCCCAGTAGGGGGCGTGCAGGAAGCAGCAATCAGTGACTGTCTCTTATCATTGATGTTTCTATCTCCCTTTCCCTTCCTCTCTCTGAAATCAATAAAAATAAAAAAATAAAAAGAAGAATGCTATGTTTTAGAAATGTGCTAACCCAGACAGTAAAAAGATGGCGATCTTCAGATTGAATCCTGGCTATGTGCTGTTTAAATATAAAAAAGATCATGGGAAACTTAAAAGTAAAGGGTGGGAAAATACATCACAGATATACAAACAAAAAGAAAGCTAAGATAGTCTTTACAATAGCACATACATGAAGAAAGAAGGAAAAATTAAGTTTGGGAGGGGAGGGGAACAAAAGAGTCATTATTTTGGGGTAATATGATTGTATACATAGAAAATTTAAGAAAATCATGTATCATTAGAACTCATAAAAGAGTTTGGCTAGGTTTTTAAAATATCTAAGTACTTAAAACTCAATTGTATCCCTGTATTCCAGTTAAAACAAGAGACTCAAAGCTTTAAGGAATTTACAGAACATAATTGAACAGAGAAGAACCAAATAAATGGGAAGGTATACTATGTTCGTGGATAAAAAGATTTAATACCAGAAAGATGTGAACTCTCCAAATTAATCATTAAGTCAGTGCTATTTACAAAGAAATTCCCATGGGGGTTTAGGATAGGGAGAAGTTGATTCTATAATTAATATTGAAGATCGTTTTAAAAAAGAACAAGGTAGAGGACTTGGCCCTGCCAGAGGCCTATTATATAGTTTAGCAATTAAGACAGAATTGAATGCCCAGAAACAGACCGGGTATGTGTGGGAACTTGTTAAGTACAGAGTTCCTGTTCACTTGGGAAAGGTTGGACTAAATGATGTTTGTTATTCCTCTGGCAAAAAAAATTAAGATTCACTACTTCCTATTATATACATTCAGGGTTCAGCAAACTTTTTATGCAAAAGGCCAGATAGTAACTATTTTAAGCTTTGCAAGCTATATGGTTTCTGTTTCACTTTCCTCTGTCCTTGTAGCCATAGACAGTATATAAACAAATGGACATGGCTGTGCTAAAATAAAACACTATTTATTAAAAAACAACAACAGTGGTGCTATAGATTTGGCCCATAGGCTATAGTTTGCCAATCCCTGATAAACAGAAATAAATTCCAGGTAGATAAGAGCCAGAATTTGAAAAAGCAAAACTCAAAATCATATAGAATAAAAT